AATTAAGTTGAATTTCAAAACCACCTTTAATGATGTTTATTGTATTGTATTGTTTCTCAAGCCTTTTATTTATATTTTATAATACTTTAACTATATAATATTTAAACACATGTTTTGATGTGACAACACGTCATCAGGTGATGACGTTGGGTTTCTACAGGCTATTATACTACCTGTCAGATTTGCAGGTGTTTGCCAAATAGCCACATTCTGTGATAAATCACTTATAGGAAATGAGTATGTTAAGGTGATATTTTTGTGAGAAAGTTGTTTGTTTACGTGTAGATTTTCCGAAGCAATAATTCTTCTAAGTTGGTAGTTTTAACAAGCCATGTTCTACAGAATCGTAAACACTTGAGAGACCAATACTTTCATGGTATTAGAAAAGCTTTCCATAATTTTTTATATTTATTTATTTATATACAAAAACAATAGCACATGGCCAAACTCTTTGTATTACAATACAATGATTGCAAAAAAAAATGCACATTAACTATGTTACTATTACAAAAAAAAAATACATATTAATAAACATACAAATTAATAACTAAGAATAAAGAAAGACTACTATATACAGCTGTTAGATTGCCTGTTAAAATGTATGGTCTAAATATCCTGATTTCTCTACTCATTGCCTGTTGTTCAGTACAGCGTAAAACCTATGGTGATCGTTATTGTTGCTGCTCCGAAACTTTGGAACCAACTACCTGATATTATGTGTGACTCTTGATCTTCGTCAAATCTCAGTTCAAATCCCATCTTTCTCATAATTTTAATTCTGAACTTGATTCCTTTTCTTTTGGTTTATGTTTTTAATTTTCTTGTTATGCGCATTGTAAGTATTTTGCCATTATAATTATATCACCATTTATGTATACCCCTGGTTCTTAGTTAATTTATTTAAAGGGCCAAAATATTTTTTTCGAGTTGAGCTTACAGGCCACGATAGTATCTGATTCATAAAACTTAGTATAATGTTTTTGGTAATTTAAAATTCTACTTTTTATTGTGCTACACAACAATATTAGTGCTGCAAACATTAAAATTCTGTAACATTATTTTGTTTACACTGTAGTCGCCTTTGTCGCAAGGTAAAGAGAATGTTAAAACAATAAGAAACTGTATTCAGTGTATTAAGAAATTTTAGTAATGTAAATTAAAAAATATAATATATAATCAAAGGTACTCACTGTAGAAGATCATAAGTGGTAATAATAAAATCATCACATCCTTCCTTTTGATGCTCCTTATCAGAAATAATATTTCCACTCCTTGTTGGAGTATTGGCAGATGCAGCCTTCATGAGTATTTCAAATTACAATACTATATTTGGCATTTTTTGATTGTCGTCGTTAAACATTTTTTAGATCACGGTGGGTTGCGTACAAATCTACTGTATCATGCACATTTTAAACTTCTATGCAATGCGTGATTGTTCCTTAAATATTGTTAGTGGACATGGCCCAATGGTTGCGGTTATGTATTCACTGATAATGGGAAAATTATTTATCAAATGTTTTACTTTTTTATTATCTGTTTTTAATTTCATTTTTTTCACACTGGCCAGATTTAATGGCTCAGCGGGCCAAATTTGGCCCGCAGGCCGCCTAATATGGACCAGGGATGTACAGTATCTCTATGCTTAGATTGCAACTTAGGCATCGAAGATGTGAGATAGCAAACGAATGAAAAATTCATGTTAATCACACTTGAACAAATCCTTGTTATTACTTGGAAAATGAGAAATTCCCAAATAAGCCTTGAACTCATCTTCTCAGCATGAACTGTCGCACTCCAGTTGCACTTATTTGGCTTCACACCATGAACTGTGGCACTCCTACTACTAACTATTGCGTTATCAGCATGAACTGTTGCGTTCCCAGCATGAACTGTTGCGTTCCCTTTCTAGTATGAAATATATGGTAGGATAAAATTACATGTAAAATACCATGAAGGTGAGGTTATATTTGATGATGCCATAGTCTACTTGTCATTAGTTTATTTGAGGAGGTTGAAAAGAATCAGACCAAAGTAAAGACACAAGTCAATAATAAGAAAAATAAGGCAGAAATAATTATATGGTAATTTTAATAATGATAGTAGCAATACAAATATTTACGATTAATTAGGTTTATTAGCCAGAAAAAACTGAGTTCCAGTTATATATATATTTTTTTTTTTTGCCTGTAAGATCTCAATTTCTATAATTCTAATTTTCTCCAACTGATCTCTCTTAATTTCATACTGATCAACTAGGTCAAATATTAACCTGTGCTGGTCATAATTCTTCATTGCTGGCTACCATTGTCCAATACTGACCACCATAGCTATAACCTAATTAGTTGTGTCAGTAAATTAAATTGTTGAAGGTTCATCAATACAGTTTCCCTATAAACCTACAGAGTTTTGGCATTCCAAATTGAATCCAAGGAGGTTTTGACGAATGTGGTTCCATAGTAGAGAGCTGAAAACTGACTTCTGATGGAAATGTTAAATTATTAAATAATTTAATATTAAAAGGGGAAGAATGTAATTGTTACACATATGTGCCATACATTTATTGGTTTTTGCCCCACAATTAAAGATATCTCACAATAAAAGTAGTATGCTTTCTGTCATTGTGTTTATTGGAGATGAATCATAGGGAAGAAAATATCTTGGGTGCTTATTTGATTTACCCACCTATTTATCTACCCACCTTAAAGATTGAATATCCATTCATAATAGTAATAATACAGTAATATACAAATATTTTAACGCTCCAATTTTAAACTGAATGATCAAAGGTGCAGAAAGTATACAAACAAAAAGGATAGCGGTTGGCAAAAGTTGAAATGGAACAAACTACATGGAATGAAAAAGATAGGTTTTTAATTTCAGCTTAAATGAAAGAGTTGGGTGCACATTTTTTATGGTGGTAGGTTGTTCCAGAGAGATGAGGCAAGGTTTGTTGATACCCATTTTTACCTCTGAATAGTTGTGCTGCAATATCGCCTATTAATCTAGTCACCTTTCGTCAAAAATTTGTCAAAATGCACTTTCATCAATTTGTAATCATAATTTATTCCGAATGTGTAAGAAAATGTATTATCTTGAATATGTATTGATAATAACAGTAGTTGTTTCTAGAATACTTAGCTCCGATGTTTGATGTATAAGAGGTATCTTACTTTAAATATCAAAAAAATGATACTCTAAAAATGGTTTTCAAATTTCATTTGAAGATCTGACACCATCATATATAAATTTATATAAAAAATTAATGTTAATATTATTTTATTTAATTTTAGGTATTAGCTTTCTACTGAAAATTGGAATAGTTATCCGTACCGACATAAGAATACCATAAGATAGTATGAAACAAACTCTGAAAAAAGTGATACAAGCCATTGTTGATTCTATATTTCGAACTTTATTAGTTCATCTTCAGGAATAAATTATAAGTTTGACATATAGAATCAACAATGGCTTGTATCACTTTTTTCGGAGTTTGTTTCATACTATCTTATGTCATACTTATCGGTAAACCCCATGGTATAAGAATACCATTTCTATTATTATGTTGACCTACCCTCCATTCCTCCGCTTTTATGTCGTCAGTTGATGATCTATGTGTCTGTGTGCACTTTTGTGTTCCTTCATTTATCTCCAGGGTGCACACACTTATCTTCATTTCTAGAGATGAACTTACACAAAGTGCTTCAATGTGTGCACCTATCTCACTTTGCAACTTCATTTCACCTTCTTGCTGATATTACTGTAATTCCATTCAATTTTGATTGCCTGCTACAAATTAAATTGAGTGTGTGTCAAGATACTGTAGCAGGAAACCTCAAAGAAACCATTATGATATAAAATAAACTATATAAAGATACTGTACGTGTAGCGTTTCACCACTGATCACATACAGCTTCATGGCCTATGCTGTGTTACCATGACAACAAGGCATAGCATATGTCAAGAAGCTGTTGGGAACTTAATGGCGTTGATGGAGACTTGTCGTTTTGACAACGTCCTAAAACAGACTCTGGCATGCACAGCTTGCGAAAGGAAGCCCACTATGTTGCAGTTGTCATGTATTAATTTGCATGTTAGACACAAAACTAAAATTTAGCTTAAGACTGGCATATTGATGCCATAAAGCCAAAACGACGTCTCTTATCTACTGTACATGTTTTTTTATTTCCCCATAAGATACACAGGTTCTCATTGCTTATGTGGATTACATTTCTGCTAGATTTTTTGGGTGTTTTTGAGTGGATGTACAATATCAATTTGAGGTTGCCCATCCCCTTTTTTCTTGACTTAAAATGAAGCTAAAACCATGTTTAAATTTGACTTTTCAGCTGTTTCAGGTACGAGAACCTTGTATGAGAACGAATGGATGTGCAAATTTCTGTTTTCTCTCTCCAATTTTGTTGGCCTAGCAGAAGCATGCAAGGCAGGATCATAACTACTATTTCTTTGGCTAGTGTGGAAATCTTTTAATCAAAATGTATTTTCATTTATCACACATTTTTTTGTCTTACAATTGCACAGTGAGATGGCTGAGAATGTGAGAGAATTAAAGCATAATGTAGCTTAGTATTAGTAAACCTGGAATTTTGGCCAGGACAGGATGTATTATACTGTACATTGTTCATTATTTTTGTATAATTGAGAGATTACTTTTCATGCAATGCAAACAGTTCCTTGTCAATTGGAAGCTGGTGTTGTCATGAGTATACTCTACAATCAAAACAGTATGCAAATCTGATGCGATTTCTGCTGATCAATATTCATATTTCAAAACAGTCAGTGACAGTAAAAACGCAAGAGGCAACTCGCAGACTTTAGACATGACATTCAGAGTACAACAGCATTTTTATCGCATCACTAATATATTATATTTTGCAGTAAACTGTCAATTTTAATTTCGAGCATTTGCAGATGATCATTTTAATTTTATCAGAGTATTCAATTCTTCACATTAATTATTCATAGTATTTTTTATTTTTCAGTAAGAACAAGCTTTAAAAATGTTGGTTATCACCAAAGTGATGTTGAACATAGGAAATTACAGGAATATTTCATGTGATCTTTTACGGAAACTTGCCTGCTGATTTAAGCAAATATGTCGGCTAAGGAGTACTACCAAATGCGGCACACCCGTGGGGACTTCATGAACTTCGGCTCCTTAGAGGACTTCTTGGAAGAGAGAGGCAATACAATTGATCATGCTGGATGGTCATTGCGGCACCTCCAGCGTAAATTCAAAGGAATGGATATCGAGGAATTGTACGAGAAATATTGCTTGTGGCTGAAGAACGCGTTGTTGTCTTTGTTTTGTTTGATGGGATTATTAAACGCAACTTGTATGTTGGTGTTGAATATTATATATCACAAGGTATGGTTTGAAATTACTTATAAAGAAATAGTAATGGTTTTCAAATAAACTACAGTATAAAATTCAGTTCACTGCCTGGTAAAGTAAAGTTGAATGCAATTCAACAAGGAATCCAACAAATTTTATAAACCGAGGCTGAAATTGCTTCAAAATTAAGAACAAAATAAGAACAATTTGAGGTGAAGCTGAGGGAAAATGTCATATGAGTATTTTATAAAAAAAAATAAAAAAAATTGAAAACCAACAAATCTTATCTGTAAATTATGTGCAGTAAGTGTGTCTATGTAATACCCTCTAAAATACAGTACACTCAGTATCTGTAAAATAAGAACATTTTGTCTGAAATCAGCAAAAAAATAAGATCACTGAGTCTGGGCAAAATTTAACTGGTTCTTATAAAAAAAATGTCTAGCTCTTCAAACAATCATTCAATCAATTCATAAAAATATTTCAATCAATCAATTGATTTTATTTAATTTTTATTTTATTTCAAATCACACCCAACAGCAGGTAACTCGCCACTTACAGAATATATAAAAAAGAGAAGCATCATAAGAAAAAATAGACACATAAAAAAGCAATAAAACAATGTAAATGCCAAGGGATAAAAAACCTAATGTTGTGGAGATCCTTTTAAATTTTATTGTTAAAAACAGAAAAATTGTCAGAAAAAGGATCAATAGAGTTGTCTTTAAAGGAAATCATATTATAAAGCTTAGGGATTCCAGAAATAAAACCGTTTTTAGTGGATTCAGCTCTGCCAAAAGGCACAAAGAAAAGGCAAAAAAAGGAACTGCGACAGTGACAAGACTTAGCATTAAGAGAGAAAAAAGTAGCCAAGGAACTGGTACTGGTATTGGGTATTTATATTGCGATTTTCCCTTGTGGTTATAAAGCGCAAGCCAAAAGCCTCAATAATTCAGGAAAACAATGGTAGGCATAAAATCAGTCATTATTCAGGAACCTGAAGCATCACAGTAGTACAGTCACACAAACAACCAAGACAAATAAACAGATTACAACATTAAAAACAAGAATGCATAAACCTCAAAAGGAAATGAAGATCATAAAACGTTTTTGCATCAAGTCAAGGAAGTTATCAACCTTCAGTGAGATATTACTGTAATTAATAAACCAATACATTTTTGCTGATTTTCAAACATTTTGCTATAATTGTATTTTTATTACCAGCCAATTTAAAGTGTCTATAATGCAAAATAATGTAGGAACAGTAGTGCTAATGCATTTGTAAATTAGCAGGGCAAGTTTAGCATTAAAAATATTGAATTTCATTTATTTCTCAATAGAGACAGTATGTTAAATTGAAATTCAAATTACAAAATGTAGACACAAAGTTATTTTGATAGAAATTTTAAGTGGAGAAGAGAAATGATAATATTTCAATATATGGAAATCTTCGAATTTTCTCTTAAGAAACTGGTCCCTTTAAGAGACACACGATGATATATCTTTGAAATTTATATTCTATTTAGCAGTAAATTGACTGAATTCTAAATGATCTGTCATTTTAAATTTTATATTTTCATTTTAAATTTCCACTAAATTATAATTCCCGAATTTGAATGACAAAATTTAGTATTTGATTTTACAATCCACACAAGGGTATGTAAATACCCTTATTGCAGTTAGATTGGCAGTTGACACCTAAGATTACAACCCATGGGTATAATTCCATACAAATGAGATTTGAATTATCTCTCTTCTCCCCCCCCCCCCTGCCATGTATTCTCATTTCTGAGATAATACTGTATGTCATTTTCTTTATGTACCTTGTAGATGAAAATTAGTTTTAATATCATAAATCTAAGACATTTCCTTTATACTGTTATTTATTTTTTTTTTCTCTCTACAGAATCACCTTCATTGGGATCAGCTTAGTCTTCTTATTATATCTACTATTTTATTCCTTATATTCTTTATAATTACAAATATTGAAACCATTGTTCGTGGACTCATGCTAACAGTCTCCGTTATAGTGTGGTTGATCATTTTACTCTCGACGTATGTATTAATTGCGCTGCAAAAAACACATTATCCCATCGACGAAGTTGGAACTATCATGTTTATTACTATATTGGTATATACTATGTTGCCGTTGTCGCGGCTTCAAGCGGTAGGAATTGGTGTTATTACCTGTTTTCCGCATGTAGTCATACTGGCTGTGCTTTCAAATCAGGGTGATGTGGAGGACAAACTACTACAAGTCAGTAAAACTTTCATTTTGTTGTTATTGATTTATATATATTTGATTATAAATTAAAATAAATATTACCTGCTTATAACTGAGTCACTCAAGTGCAAGATGGAAGTTTCTTTCTGCTTGCTACATTTATCCACCCTTTTGCCTTTCTGAAATCTCCAATTCTAACATTATCAGAAGGTGTTCAATACATTTTTTGAAAAATTTTATTATTTTCTTTTACAGATATTTGCTAATTTTGTCATATTTGTGTGTGTTAATTTTACTGGATTGTATCATAAGCATTTACTGGACATAGCTCAACGACGAACTTTTCTTGACACCAGAAGCTGCATTGAGTCCAGGATAAAGTTAGAGCATTCCCAAGCTCAGCAGGTGGGTCATTACCAATTGTACCCAATGCACACCCAGGGCCAGTAGTGTACCCAGAGTTTGCTGGGTGTAAGGCCTGCTGTTTCATTTTTGTTTCCAAGCATCACTCATATGACTATCTGTTTTGAATAAACATTGCGGCATATCATCAAATGTATACATTACCCAACAGGCCTTTATGTTTCGCATCATCGAGACAATAACAAGATTTTTTATAGAATATTAATGTTGATGTTCCATTATCTTTTGAATAAGACTGCCTTAAGCTTCCAAACTATTTTTGAACGTCACAGCACTTATTTGGTCTTTTACGATACTTGTTATTGTTGTTTAAATTTCTGCACCGCATGATATTGTAGTTAGGCTTTCATAATTATGCAGGATTTGCAAGTCTATAGCTTTACGAGCAATCATTTGTAATTAAAGAGCGTCTTTCATTTAAAGTGTTCTTAGCAGTCTTTACTGAAGTCTTTTATAGCCTTGTCATTGGCAATCACAATTTCAGGTACTGATTTCAGGCAATTGATTGATGATGTATTGTTAGTTTTGCTGGTTGGTTTTATGACATTTTGGAGAAAAATTCATGTTGTGTAGACGCTTAAAAATTGAAAACTTTAAATTAAAATTTAATTCTCAACCAATTGTATCATTTTTAAATGAAAAATAAAAACTGAATACTTTTACATAAAATTTACATCTTCAGAATTTAAATATACAATTCCTTTAGCACTTTTTTAGATTTACCAATGAAGCAGTTAACATAGATAGTGTCCATATACATGCCCTTAAGTTGCCTGTTGATCAATAATAACCTAGTCTAATTCAGCAAAATAAAATTAAGTGTTTCCGTTTATGTCTCATTAAAATTTAAAAGGGTACTTGATCCTGTTAAATGTTAAAATGTGAGATGTGTTTTTATTTTTGCAGATTTTATAGTACTGTAGAGAGTATGTCCTTAAATATGTTGCTAGCTATACTTTAATGTTTGATTATTCTGTACAGTAATATGCAAATGAAGTTATAATATAGATTTTTCATCTAATAATTGTGTACACTGACAACCTTACAAATAATGTTACAAGGGAGCCATTATCTTGTAAATCCTGTAAAAATAATGGGAGTCTCTGTATATTTATATTCTGGGTTTGATGTCTGTTTCTGCACCTGCCATATCTTGGCAAATATGTGCTGCATTGATTTGTAAGGTTTAAAGTTCTCCATGTTTCAAAGTAAATTATGTAATGAAATGCAATGACTTATTTTTACCTTCGAACAATTACAATTTAATTTACTTCATTGTCCTTGACTTTTTTAACCTGATGAAAATATAATAGACATCTCCCATTTTTAGCAGCAACAGTTCCAAGGTTCTGAAAGGGTCATATGTGGGGAGGGGAGAGGGAGAGATGAAAGAGTCACTGAGGGTAGGTACCTGGTAGGTTGAAGTGGCATTGTCAATGAGTGAGTCCTGCTGAGTCTGAGCTTCTCCACTTTTATTTCAAATCCTTTGGGATTTACAGTTAAACTTGCCTCTCAAATAATTTCTAAGTCAAACTTATTTTACATGCCAAATTTTTGTTTTCCCTTTTAACAATCTGAAAAAATTGTATCTAAGTCAAACAATTTTTTCAATGGCATTTTGGTTCAACTTAGGCAAGTTTAACTGTATATGAAAGTTATAAAGCAAATAAAGCTTTAAAATTAAGACTAATTAATAATAAAATGAAAGTATAATGAGACCAAGCAAATTTATAATTTTAGTGAGTATAAAAGAAATTGACATGATCATTTTTTTGGTGCAACATTTGGTTTCAGGAGCGTCTTTTACTCTCCGTATTGCCTGCACATCTAGCGTTTGAAATGAAGACGGAGATGATGGAACGGGTGCGAGCGCCAACGATACAGCGCTCACCGCACAGAAATGCAATGAACACTACACATTTTCATAACCTCTACGTCAAACGACACAAAAATGTCAGGTAATTTAATTTTTGTTTTAAGGAAAATTTCAAGAGAGGAAGGACATACTTGCCTTTGTCTATCTGTATCTTCCACTGATAAATACTTGATGTTATTTATTCTGCATGTTGGTATGTTCTGACATATGGGCATCCCCTCCTCCACTGGCATGTTGTCTTCATATTAATCAGCAGATTGTATATTTAACCTCAGGAATGTTCTTTGATTTAAAACTAGAACTGGGTTACTGTAGATTGTGATTCTGTGAACTCAAAACTAAGCGAAATTCAAAGTTTATGTTTGGAACATTATTTATCTATAAGAATTTAAGAAACACCATTAGGGATAAGAGAATGATGAGAATGTATGGTGGTAGCAATAAGCTAAACATAGTTTAAATGCTGAAACATGATTCTGGGTATGCGTATCAACAGAATGTTGTTGAGCCGTAAGCCACCAGTTAAGATATTAAACAACCGCAACAAATGTGATTACATTACCAGTTGATTATACCTACTTTAGGGAATACAGATACTCAGATACTCTAAACTTTCCACTCAATTTGAAATGATTATTGGCTTTGAATTATAATAAGAATGTGTTCTAACAAAAAAAAAAATTGTCTGAGTGATATTTGGTCGGTAAAAGTATAAAAATCTAAACAAAGTCATCAGGATTATATATAGCCTCAAAAAAAAATTTGTGGGAACTTTCAGTATTTGATGTTTTGCCATCCACACCCCATTATATTGTAAATTCAAGATCTTTCTTATAATTTCTATAATTTTATGTAAAGCGCATAGAGGCACTGTGCAATAAGCGCTATATAAATGTAACTTATTATTGTTGTTATTATTATTATGTACTAGGCCTATATATTTAATTTCATTTGATTTCATTTATATGTCTCAAAACATTACAGTTTATAAAAACAGTCAGTCAATCAATCAATCAATCATAAAAATTTGTATAGCAACAGACTTTACTGCAAGCAATGTTAGCACTGTGACATGAGCTTAGAGTACTTTGTATTTAAAAGAATTAATTTTAAAATGTAATAATAAACAGATACAGGGAAACATGAGACACAACACCTGATTACTATACACTCATTCTCAAACTCGTCTTAATTTACATTAATTGGTAAAAAGCTGATCAATTACCACAATATTGCGGTGGTTTTATAATCATTTGCGTGTGTCCTTGGGCAAAACACTTTACTATTCTACCTTAGCTCATACTTAATTCACTTCTATGTCATGTTGTGTTAGTAAACTTAATGATCACAACATCCTTGTAATAGATCGTTATAGGTAGATATATTCGCAATGGTTAATCCTTGTTCCATGCTTCTGAAGCATTGTAACAGGTAAATTTCGAACTTTAAGTTGGTTGATTCAAATCATTATGGACAATAATAATTTTGATAGACCAGAACTACCCACTGATTTTCTTTACACAAAGTAGAAATTTCATAGAAAGCTAAGATATAAAAAGTAACAGTTTACATCATAATAAGTTATATTGTTTGCAAGGCATCCAAAGCCAGCCTTATACCTAATTCACTCACTACAATGTGTTTTACACAGGACATGAGTCTGTCCACTACAGACTAACACACACCCACATACAGTACACCATCATATAGGTGGTTGTGAAGTGATAGGCCCTATTTCTGATCCACATGTATTTGGTCACTGCTTCGCAAACATAGATACATTACAAAGACGTTTCTTTTTACGGTTGTTAAAGTAAAGAAAGAAATGGTTATAATCAATTTATAATTTAATAAATTCTCATAGGTTTTTATGAGTCTTAGCAGTTCAGCAATTGCCGACCATATTGCCGAGCCAGAATTGCTACAGGATGGCAATTTTTACCGACCTAGGCCTAGATTTCTTTGCTTCAAAAACTGCTTGGAAAGTCAAAAACTTTGACTGAAACAGGCTATAGCAGACATTAAATTTCATGTACGTCATCAAACCAAGGAAATTGGTGGTTCATAAAACAGATTTTGTTTGTACAATAACTATTTCTAATAGGCATGCAGTATGCTATAGCAGACATTAAATTTCATGTACGTCATCAAACCAAGGAAATTGGTGGTTCATAAAACAGATTTTGTTTGTACAATAACTATTTCTAATAGGCATGCAGTACGTACGATTTGTGTACAATTATCTTGTCTTTCTCACCAAGTCGTTTCGTAGGCTAGGCCTAGCCTAGGTAGGAATGACGCTAGCCAGCCAAGGCCTACAACATCACCCAATTGAAGCCACGTGGGCCACGTAGATCGTAATGTTTATCTAAATCTATCATTTGTCTTCATTTTACAGTATTATCATATTTAAAATGTTGTTTATTATCTACAATAAACAAAATTCAACATATTGTAGGCCTAATCCTACCGTCCGTTTAAACGCAATCACGATCGCATCGTGACTACACTCAGGGTGACCAGTGATGCAAATCAAATTATGCAGAGGTTGATGGGAAATTATGCTAAGTTATGGCAAATGTTAAATTTCAAATAAGCTCCCCCTGCATAAGCTCCAAATGTTCAATTTCAACAATTTAAAATAAGCACCCCCCAAATGTTCAATTTCGAATAAGCCCCTTTTCAAAAATGCAAACTAAAAAATGTTTAATATTATTTTTTCTTCAGTGAGAATTTAATTAATTGTTATAACCTGGTCTGTGTGCTTTGTTGGCATACTGTGTAGGCTATTTCCAATGAAGAGTGATTTATTTAGTATTGCAATTGTATACACAAACATTTAAAATATACTTCCTCAAATACCTACTACTGTACACCTCAAAAACCTTCCTGAAATAAAGGATCGTATGGGAGGTAAGTAGACAGCAATGACAAAAGCAATAAACTTTAAATAGAAGATTAGCAAAACAAAAAAAACATTTTTTTTTTTTTTTTTTTTTTTGGAACATGTACAGTTTGCATTGTAATGATACACAGATAGGCATTACAGTATCATAATTGTGAGGTTATATGGGAAACACAGATAGGCATTACAGTATCATAATTTGAGATTATGAAAAGTAAAATATTGTACTATATATTTAGCACCTTTGGTCTTAAAACACAATGTCTGTCTTGCTCAGATTATCATTTATTTTTTGGAAATTGTGATATTTGGACCATATAAAGTTTTATTATGAAGTTATATTACAGATTGCCACAGTAATAGAATAATAAACAAAATTTAAACACAGTATTGACTAAAACTTTTATAGTCAACGTTTAGTTTGATAGGCCTGTAGGCCTACTTAACTTTTTGTTTTTGGCATTGTTCTATTCATAGCTTTAAAAGCAAAAATGTGAAACCTACAAATGCAATAAACACCTTAAAAATAGAGTTTATAAACACAGGCGGACCTGGTTTCACATTTGGCGTATGGGGGGGGGCGCGGGGGTGTCAAATTTTTTTTATAAAAACTCAAAAAAGACAGGAGGTCCTCCCTTTTGAAAATTTTGATTCCTAGATGGCGGGAAATGAGCTTTCCAGACTTCTGAAGGTGTCTTTTAATGACTTTTAATTCAAGGTTTCCCCCTCTTTAAAACGGTTAGTTAAACCAAACTTTCTCACTTCTATCGCAGTAAATAGGCCTATTTATGTGTGTATATACTGTATGTACATAAAAAATTGATTTGCATACATATTCTTTTTTTCATGAACTGATGAACCTGAAAGAGGAAGGAGGGTCTCGGGGTCCTCCGACGGGAACATTTTGAAAATTTTGATCCCTAGATGGCAGGAAATTAGCTCCTGACTTCTGAGCTGCCCTTTAATGACTTTAAATTCTTGAAATTTTAAGGTTTTCCCCCTCTTGAAAATGGTCAGGTAAACTTTCTCATTCTTATTAAAGTAAATACTAGTAGGCCTATTATGTGTGTATATAAAGTACATCGCATACATATTATTCTTTCCATGAATCGATGTACCACAAAGAGGAAGGGGACCCCCTAAAAATAAATTAAAAAAAAAAAAAATCCGCCAATGTGAATTGCGAAAAATAACTCGATTGGGGACTGCATAAACACTCATTCCTCTCTCTCTCCTCCTCTTTCCCTCTTTCTTTTCTTGCATTTCTTTCTGTCTGATCATACAAAAATCTCCATATAGACATTATATATTTTCAGCCACAAAGTAGGGGGGGGGGCCATGTATTGGTTCTGCCGGCCATGTATAACACATTACAAAATCAAAATATGTAATTGCACAGACATACAGTAGTATAGTTGAGCAGTAAAAGCAAAACCACTGCAGTTGTTGTGACCAACTCCCTGATAAGTCTAGTAGAGTATCATCCCGAGTATCGGTATCTTAATTTAAAACTTGGTAGTTGATACGGTAGTACACTACTCCCGCACGCATGCCTCCCGGACGGACCACCGAGCGAACACAAATTTCACCTCCAGCGAGGATAGGACTGGACAGGATTGAGTATGTAGCATTTCTATTGTTTGTATTTAAACCGCAATAAGTACAGTTGAGGTAGTAATCCGAATGATAACAATGTGAGAAGTGTATAGCACTAGAAATACTGGTCTAATTTCCTGGTACCATAAGGAGACTAAGGTTTACAAATGAAATATAAAAGATTATACAAATTTAATATTGCGGTTTAAATACAAACAGAGACGCTACAAGTACCTGGCCAAAACCATTTTCAATGTGCTGTAAAAAAAAAATAAATAAAACCACAGAAAGGCAGCTGCAATGTGTGCAGCATAGGATTTATTGGATAATCAATAGACGAATTCATTTTTATTACCGTATGTGGTATCCACGGTTATTGACGACTGGTTTAATTCAGATTCAAGTTTTTTTTTTCTTCTGAGTTCAAAATTATGCTAAATTTTTCTAAAATTATGCCAGCACATATGCTAGATGCTAAATGGGTCTAAATTATGCCAAGGTCTGGTCACTATGACTTTACTACTGACAACAAGTACTGTACATGATGTGTGGAAAATCCCTGATAGATCATTCTGGACATG